TCTATTATTTTCGTGCAATTTTCTTTTCTACATTGTGGCAGAGTTTGAAATTTAAGACAATGAAAAAGAAAAATAATCTTCTCCACACATCGATTTCAATGTTAATAAAATAATTTAATCATGTAACCCAAAATTAATTGACAATAAATGAAAAAACTCAAGATCATTTAAACTATTAAGGTAAGGCTTTCATTTTCAGATGTGAGATAATCCTTTCAACAGTTAATACATACGGATCTCTTTCATCAACAATAGTAGAAATACATAATATTGGACTGACAACATCACTTTTCACTATCAGCAGAGCCAGAATTAACATCTACACCCTCAACATTTTGATACTTGTACAACTTAGCACACACTAGATAATAACCAAAATTGAGCACCCCAACAACAACTAACATCCAATACACATTGTCTAGCTTCCCATTATTTATATCATTTGGTAACCACTCTGTAACCCTCTGAACCAAATTAATTACACCTGTGCTTAAATAAAATGCAATCCCAATGACCAACGAGATCATCGCCGTCGATGTGCTTCGAAGAGACACTGGAAATTCTTGATAGTACAATGCAACTTGTCCAGGAAAATGAAATGCCTCTCCCAATACCTGCCAAAACCAACTGCGGGAAAAGCCACACGGCCGGCATTGGTACAACAGGTTGGAGGTGGTTCGCTTTGGCTAATTTGAGCCTTTTTGACTCTACTAGTGCTGAAAGAGCCATGCTAAGAATAGTTAACGCGTGGCCTAATCCTATACGTTGGAGGGGCGTTGGAGATCGACCAGTCAGCTTCTGCCACACAGGACATAAGAACCTATCAATAAGGGTGAGAGAGATGGCTGTGGAAAGTAGGACAATGACTATAACGGAGCCAGATGGCATTTTGAAATGAGGCCCAATGTGACGGTCCATGCTTAGAGCTTGCAGGACTATCATGCTGGTCTGGACTGCTAATGGGGTACCTAAGAATATGCTTGTTGACCATAATGGTAAAATTCTTATAATTGTTTTGAAATCTTCGACCTGTTGCATTGTGCTTAGTCTCCATGGTTTTGCAATGGAACCATCTGATCTGATGTCTCCTTCAATTTTCTGTGCTGCACGGTTTAGGAATCTGTATGCGAAGAGGGGACATCAAGTTTGTATTTCTATAGTCCAAATTGAATTGATCTCTCAACTAGGGCCGGTCATGAGTTTTCAAAGGCTCAAGGCGAAAATCTAAAGTATGCTTTTACACACATTAATAACTAATACTAGTATACTTCTTGTTTTATCAACTAAGCATTG